TACAAGTGTTACTTTTATCCAGTATACCTACAGGTTTGAATTGTCTGTATCTGTTTCTTTCATTGACAGTTGATCCTAAAATGGCTTCATTTGATCTACTTACTAGTGCTATTAGTTCTGCCAATTTAAAAACTTCTTTTTATTGATTGTTGTGGCTCTTCAGCTTGTTGGACTAAGCTTTAAGCACACAGGTTGCTAGGAGGTCTAGTGAACCTGTAGATTTGAAAGTCTAGATATCATGTCGGTAATTTTCTCTTCCTTCTATTATTCATCTAACTCTAGGCATCAACATGGTTAAGTTGTTAGGTCATTTAGAAGATTGATGGAAACAAGGTGATAGTTATAGAATTATGGGGTCAGTTACTGTTTGAAATTGTGTTATTCGTAGTTTTGTAACAAAATATGCTTAGCCCTCTAAGACTTTTTCTTCACGTAAAATTATTCAATTGTTGAGGTGCACATGGCAGGAATCCAAAGGCTCAAAGTAGTGAAAGATTACAGAATTTGCGTTTTGCTCGCAGTATTTGAAACCCTAATAATCTTATTGAATTTGTGTAGTGAAGGCAACTTCAAGCTTGAAGGAATATCTAAAAAGATACGAGACCAAAAATGAAGAGAGGATCAGAAGAAGAAAAGGAAGAAAAAGAAGAAAACCAAACTCGAATCCTCAGGCGTGTTGGTTGTTGATCAAGATCCGGTCTGGCAAAAACCTGTTAAGGCTGAAGACGATGATGGCAATGATTCACCTGGTTGGTTCAATTTTTTTCCTCTTCTTTTTATATTGTAATTATTATTTATTTTCAGTTTAATGAATTTATAGTTGATAGTTATTGATTATGAACTTTGTTATTTTCCTAGATGAGACACCCGTAGTAGATGAAGATATCGAAGTGAAAAGAATGAAAAAGCTAGAGCAGATTAGGTTGAGGAGGGGATACAATACTATTGCTGAAGACGGTAGTGGATGGGTCTCGCTATCTCCTAAACGTGCTAACGCAGTGGATCCTAATTCTGATAGTTCCCCTCGTAGGCAGCGGACACGAAATGACACACCTTCTCCAGAACCTGGGTTGAGGCATTCAAACTCTGAAATAGAAGTTAAGGATTTGTCACCAACACGGAGAAGTAGGGATGATTTATCACCTTCTTGTAGGAGGGCAACTAGGACTGATTTACCAGAACCTCGAGTCAAGGCATCTAGAGATGATACTGATTTATGTCCTCTGCGAAAATGGAGGGTTCAGAATGAAACACCATCACCTGAACCTTTAGTAAACAGTGCAGATGGTACTGATTTATCTCCTCCACGGAAACGGAGGGTTCGGAATGATACACAATCACCAGAACCTTTAGTAAACAGAGCAGATGTTAATGATTTATCTCCTCCATGGAAACGGAGGGCTCGGAATGGTACACCTTCACCAAAACCTTTAGTAAACAGAGCAGATGCTGATTTATCACCACCTCGGAAACGGAGGGTGAGAAATGATACACCTTCACCGAAACGGAGGTTGAAGCCTTTGAGAGAAGGTACTGATAGTGATATGTCACCGCCACGGCAAAGGTCAAGACGTCAACATACACAATCACCGGAGCCTGATATGCCACCTCCTAGACAATCTCGTCGTCAAACATCTGAGTTAGTTCATGATTCAGATCTTTCCCCTCCAAGGAAAAGTAGGGAATCAACCGGTCCTGCTTCTTTGAAACAAAAACCAAAAACTGGTTTAATTTCTGGCAGTGAGATCGGAGAACAAATTTCCAAAACAAAGAAGGATGATTGGTTAAGGTACCTATTCTGTTTGGCCATCTAGATATAGTTCATCTTTTAGAAAATGGCTCTGTTAGCTTTTTGCATTTTTCATCCTTGCAATGTTATATAAATAGGATAAAATAGGTACTCAGCAATAGATGAGTAGTTTTGAGTTCAATGTAGGCTTCAGTCAATAATGTTTTTAGACCAACATCAGAAGCTGCTTTTTCTTTGGTTGAAACAATTTTTACATGTGGCTGCCGTTATGTAGTGATCTGCTGTAGGGACACTTGGCTTTTTCCATGAGGACATTGGTAAAATACATCTGTTGATGAAATGAGAGAGTTAAAGTATTCTCCTGTATTTTTCTTTTGCTTTGGATGATAGCATGAAGCAGTGCTTTTAGTTTGACTGCATATATCTGATTACAAATTTGAAAACATTTAAAACCAACTTTATGTAATTTCCAATTTGATTCTATCATGTGTGCTTGCATACTTGAGTTCTGTTTTCTAGTGGAGGGAAGCCCTTGGGTTTTATTTATTTTTTTCGGTTTTAGTTGGTTTGGCTTATGCGCTTCATTTAATTTCTTTGGTCTATTTTGTGTCAGGTTTAAGGATATGGATCCATCTGTGAGCGGACGAGGTGCTGAACCTGTATTTCGTGATAAGATAAAAGGTGAATGACAAGTCATTATTAAGTAATATCTAGTTGAAAACTTATGTACATTTGCATCCGGCTCACACATACCTCGTGAATCCCCGTAGGAGAACGCATGTCAAAAGAAGAGTACCTCAAGTCAAAACGAAAAGGAGAAGATAAGCCCAAGGTACACGGAAAAGTTACCTGTAGAGTTCAGAATTGCCTCATTTTTCCTTCTCAGTTATGATCATTGTAGCCAATTCTGGTGCGGTGTTCATGGTCAATGTGAACTTTATTGTTTACTTTGTTCTTAGTGAGCAAGAATTAATGGTTTGCTTTTAATGTTCTTTATCAGGAGAAAGAGTTGGAATGGGGCAAAGGCTTGGCCCAGAAACGGGAAGCCGAGGCTAGGTTGCAAGAATTAGAACTCGAGAAGAATAAACCATTTGCTCAAACCAGGTAAGATAACAAATTATAAACAATGTCGAGTTGTAATTCTTGTATTTGTTACTTCATTGTATCATCCTAGGCGATTCAGATTATTTTTCCTCTCCTATATTGGTGCATGTTGCAATTTTCATATTTTACGGCTTCAACTTGCAGGGATGACCCAGAGCTTTTCAATATGTTGAAGGATAGACTAAGATGGGGTGATCCTGTGGCGCATTTGGTCAAGGTAATTAACTGCTTTGATGCTAACAAGAATTTGGGTAGTTTAGTACTAAGCGTGTTTATGAAATAATGTAGAAAAAGCAACCTGAGCCAGTTCTTAAAGACCTAGGGGATACTGAGAAGATGAAGGAATCGGGGTTTATAGTTCCTCAAGATATTCCTCCACATAGTTGGATAGTAAGAAAATTAGATGCCATACCAAATCAATATGGTATAAGACCAGGAAGACATTGGGACGGAGTTGATCATAGTAATGGTAAAGTCATTTTTGTTATTGGTTCACAAAGTGTTTCATCATTATTTAAGTTTTAGGGGTTGTTTGTTTGCCTCTTAATGGAATCATTCAACGTTTGTTTCGCACCTCTGAATGATTCAGTGCTGACTGATTCAACAAAACAGTGATGAATGATTCAACAAAACATTACTGAATGATTTAGCACAGAAATACATTCTAAATGATTCAAAGCCATTATCAAACAACATGTCACATTCAGAGCTAATTCATACAGAGTCTCTGAATCATTCAACATTTGAATCATTCAGCATTTGAATCATTCAACATTTGAATTATTCAGCATTTGAATCATTCAACGCTTAATCATTCTGAAGTAAACAAACAGTCCCTTAGTTTGAAAAATGCTAATCGACTACTGCTGGGCATCTATGTAGGTTTTGAGAAGAAAATGTTCACCAAATTGAACGAGAAACGGGTAACGGAAAGGGAAGCATACCTCTGGTCCGTGTCGGACATGTAATCCGAGGCATCGATATTAGCTCTCTGGTTCGTGTCAGGTTCATAATTGCCTCATTTCTTTCGATTATGATTATTGACTCTTGGGTCTTGACCTTGGGTATCATCATCTCAAATTAGTTTTCATATACTTTTAAATGCCAATTTTATAGGTTTCTTGCTTCCATGAGCTATGATTTTGGCATCTATATTATTTGGTTCTGTTTTAATGTCTATCCAGAAAGAGTCACTATCAGTTTCTTTATCTTTTTTCATAAATTGACTGATTATTTAATAGGATCAATTTATAAAAGTTCTTTCCATCGTTTCCTGAAACTATGCCTAGGTATGGCAATTTTACCCGAGGCGATTGGATATTTTTTTAATTTATTTATTTTGAAAATTTGAGTTTGAGTTGGGTCAAGTTAGGTTTTTCTAAGATCAGATTGGGGTTTAGGTTTAGGATAAAAAATCCAATCCAACCTGACAAAATATTATAATTTTCTATTATATTTAGGGATAATTATAGTAATATCGATCAAGTTGGGTTTTACATAATAAAAATGAACTTTATATATATATATATATATATATATATATTTAGGTCAGGAGTGTGGGTTTTAGTTTAAAAAGTTGGGTTAGGTGGAGTTCTCTTACACCCGAATTGGATTGGATTTGAGTGGAGGGTTTCAAATTTTAACTCAGATTTAAGTAAGTCAAAATTCGACCTGGTCCATTGCAATCTCCTAGTGTGCCCAAATCTTATGTCTCCCAAAAAAAGAGGAAATTATTGTAACTTCTATTCCGAATCTTCTGTGTAATACAACAACAATAGCCTTATTTTACTATATATGTACACATAAAATTGTACCCGTGATTACACTGGAGTAAACTTTCACAACCTAAATTCTACTAATTTAGGCAAAAAGATAATAACAAAATTGTTGGGTTTTTTTGGTATTCAACATCTTTATTGGAAAATCAAAGATAAATCTCCAGAATTTTTTTAAAAATCTTTTTTTTACAGTGTTGACGTTTGGAGATTCCCCATCTTTAACCTCCAAAATTAGCATATACACATCATACTTATCATGTCTCAGACGAAGACATCCATCTTCTCCCAAAACAAAACACAGACCATTAGTCGAGCTCGTCTTTTTTTCCTTTATTTTCACCGTCCTACATTTGCTAATTTATTAGTATTCACCTTATTGACACACTTGGCTGCCTCCACACATGCATGCTATGATGTCCATTGATTCCATGATGTCGATGATAATCTACCATCTCATGAAATCTACTGGGACCTCCACCTTCCACTCTAATAGTCCACAATTCTTCAACTTTTATCCCCCCTGCTTTTTCTTCTTCTTCATGCAAGTCATGTACTTGTCCTTCATGTTCTCTCTCTTCATCTTCCTCTTCCTCATTGAATTTACAGCAAGCATCGCTACTAACAAGATGCAATCTCAATCGTCCATTTTCCCTAACAGCACATAAAATCTCTGGTCTATGTATCTTAACCTCGGTTAACTCCAACCTCCCATTTGCCCTTACAGGCTTTAGGTAAAAACAAGGCTTACCGTTTTGGTTCAATGAAGAAAGTGGTGGTGGAAACTTCTTATTCCTTTTATCCTCCAATCTCTTCTCTTCAACCCTCTTCTTATCCCTCCATCTACCCCTAATCTCCTCTTCACAAAACCCATTATATTCACCACCACGACCATCATCATCATCGATCTGTCTTTCGTTACAACTCTCAAACCCTAAACTCTCAGTGCATAAGTCCATATCATCCATAAATCTTATTACACCAGGGTCTTTCTTTGACGATGAAGACATAGGGTTAGTATTGAGCAATGGTAATGAGGAGGACTCGAAAATATTGGGATTGTTTTCAGTGCTAAAAATCAACCCTAAACCACATTTGGAATGAGGGTGAGAAGGCTTGTTTTGTAACCCTAAAAAGGAGTGAACAGTTTTCTTACCAAAGCAGTACTTGTTCAACATGGATTGTGCATAGTGATAGAGGTAAGAGTAAGGCATTATGAGTCTCAATGCCAAGAGGAAGACGGCTAAATAGATAAGACAAAAAAAGTGAGAGAAACAAAGGGTCATAGGAAAAGTTTTAAGGAAAAGTTGGGATTTGGTTGTTGTTGTTGATATGATTGATTTGATAAAGAAGAATAATGGAAAGTGAAGAAGGGGGAGGAGAGGGTATTAATAAAAAAAATTTACATGTTGAAGCCAAAGATAGGGGAAAGAGAATAAACAAAAGAAAAGGAAAGGAGGCGTGAGCGCTACTGCAAGAGCAAACGGTGCCGGATAGTTATTTGATCTTTAAGTGGTAATTAAATAGATGATTTTATAATAATATATGTTGATAAGATAAATTGTCTCGTTGATTGTTGGTGCCTTTCTTTTCTAATTAGGGTGAAGAGTTACGTCGTCGATTGATATTTTTCTGTATGAGAGAATGGTCATAAAAAAGGAGGATACTGAGTCTAGATTAATGAAGGTGTTGCGTCCTTATTAATGAAGGTGTTTACACCTTAATCTTGACTGAGAATATTTATATATGCTTTTAGCAAGGTAACTATGTTTATTTATTAGTTAAAAGATTGATTAAAGCATTAATTTGGAGATCATAAGAGATGACAGTTTCTAAAATTTATTCTTCAAAAAATATAATAATATACTCGGAGGGATATACTGCAATATTCCAAGAGATTATGATGGATGTATAAGAAGAATGATTTTTTTCATCTGTCCTTATATTTATAAAGACAAAATGTGCATGATTGTTTATATGAAAACAAAATGAGATAATTGAATTTAGTAAGCAGAAGCAACAAATCGGTGCAGGTTGAGGAAATGGAAGATGAAGACAATGATCTCATCTAATGTTTTACTAAAACGAACCACGTGTGCTGCAAGATTCTTGTCCTAGAGTGTTTGTGCTCATCCTCTGACACACAAAAAAGATCTTCTGATACTTTGTATGTTCTCTATGTGCCACCAAAGATTTGTACAATTTTAGTTTTAAACCAATCTCAAAAGCTACGTGGACCGCCCTTTCTCATATTATATATGATACATATCCAAAAAGCAAGGAAAAACCGTTCAACTGATAATGACATTTTCAAGTGTATATGTAGGGGAAATTGAGCCAGTTGGAAAATGTGGATTTTGCAGGCTAAAGTCTTCGAAGTAGGGCCAGGTTAAATGGATCTTTGCTTGGATTTTTCTTTTGGGATTTTGTGCAAAAATAGGACAGAAATTATTACATAATTATGTGGTCTAGTTGTTAAGTTATATATATAAATATGTGTGTGTATCTGGTTTTGCCAATATCACTTTGAAGTTTAAACCAAAAGCTTAAGCAAAAAATATCTATTTAGTCTGTAATATTGATACTGCCTTGTGCATTCTTATCAGCCAAGCATTGAAAGATTCTATAAGATTAACAAGAATATATAGTAGAAGTTATTTGATGCATACTTGGTTTAGAATTTATACTCTACAGGTTTATCTATCATATTTGAATTATCTCTATTGATGGAAATAAATGAGTTACGATAAATATAGACAATTTATCTCTCTTGATTTGGACAGAGAATCGCAGTCAGCGATCAAATTATCACTAGCCGGTATCAAAATATTATTTTCCATGAGGATGTAGGAAAAAGATGAATGAGTGTGAGGTGGCTCCATCTGTTCTCTTAGCTTTGGTTCAGAGGCATTATAGTAACTCTTAGTGCGTGTGTCATGCATGAAATTATTATAGTTATTCAATCAACTAATAATAGATTTACTTTGATAGATCACGCGTGCCTGTCAGAGGTCATGTCGAAACATCGTTGCTTCGTGATAGTGAGACTTCGGAGGATCTCTCTCCGAAGATGTTCTCACGAGACCTTGATTGTGGAAGGATTCTCCGGGGACATCGAGACACGAAGATAATATGCGAAGGACAGGTATAGGAACATTAAACTTTAATTCAAAATTTATATACTCTAAACTTTAAATTTAAATCTTAAACCGTTAAATTTATAACTCTAAACTTCTAACCTTGAAGAACACAGATGACATCAATACAATCCACATGTATATTTTTCTGATCACCAATTAATTATATAATAACCCATTTTTTAATATACTAACGATATTTGTTTTATAAAATTAAAACCATATCTTATATTTTGATGTATATTTAAAATTTTATAAATAACTAAATAAAATATTTATTATTATTTTAATTTTATTTATATAGAAATTATTGATAATATATCTAATAATCATTCTTTAATTAATATATACGTAAATATCATGTTGTCAGTCAGTCCTTTTCATGCACGGCTGCCGAATGAGTGGAGCACACTGATATAGTGTATGGTAAGATAAGTTCTAAATAAGGATAAATCATTAAAATGGTTACTTTCGTTTTATTTTTTTTTCATTTTTTATTATAAATTTTAAAATATATTATTTTAATTATTTATAATATAATTTTAGTGTATGGAAAGATAAGTTCTAAGATAAGTAATTTTCATTTTTTTTATTTTTTTTCACTTATTAATTATACAATGATAGACTGCTTTGTTACACATTCTGATTATATCGGCAAATGACCATTTACAAAAGAGGGGATCTGACAATACGTGTCCATCGATAAATCAATCAGAAAATAAATAACGTAAGGATTTTTGTGAAAGCACTAACAGGACCACAGAAATATAAGAAAAACTTACCAAAAACGATAAAGAATGTGCCACAAGATCAGAGAAAAAGCGTGCAACGAGAGCAGAGAAAAGTGTGTCACAAGATCATAGATTCTTATTTAAAAATGAAAAAAGTTAAGAAAAAAACCATAATATGAAAAAGAACAAGGAAAATAATAATCACCGACAGTCGGCAATCAATATTAAGATTGATGTTGTCTTTGACTAAACAAAAAATAAAGGAAGAGAAAAAGACGACACAAGAATATTAAAAGAGAAAATTAGGTTAAAGAAGACGGCTCGATATAAATGAATCTTAAGTCATTTAGAAAAAAAATATTTTTTTATCTAATCTATTGAACCTCATTGACAAGTTCATTTCTTGTTTTTATATATAATGTATTTTTCATGCACGTTGAAGATAAAGTTTTAACTTTACGATGCCTATTGACTTCATTTCATAGCCATAAATAATGAATTTATTATGGAATATTTCTCCCTTCTATTCATAGTATACAGTCGAGACGGAATCAAACAATTTAATTTATGATGTCATAATTTAAAGTGAATAAAAATAAATTATGGATATCGATTTATTTGAAGGGCGTTAATTTTATTTTTAATTTTTTTTAAAAGAATATTAAAAAATAAGTGAATTTTACATATTTTCAGTATTTTTTGTGATAAATATATCAATAATTTAATCAGTAAATATCATGTTCTATTCACATAGATTATGCATATTAAATTTTAAGTAAAATAAAAATATCTAATATTTAATTTATATTAAGAATTCTATCATTAATACATATTAATGAAAACAGTAAATTGAATTAATGTGACAAATATATAGATTGATTCAAAAAATTACATATTAGTACAACTATATATATATAGTCGGGATCCACTTAGACATTGTGAAACTAATCGAGTGAAAATAGATGACTGAGATTAAATACTATATATATATATATATATATATGAGTTTCGATCATATCCCTATATATATATATTCCCTAGGTTTCACAAGGAACACAGAGACAAGCTATTTGCATGGTCCTGCAATAAACTCAGTGGATTGAGATACTAAGAAGAATTGGATCCAATAAACAGGTGGAAACCTATGTACCAGACCATGGGATTGGCAACTTTGAATTCATGAACTCAAATATGGCACTGAAGTTAGGACTTTGAATCGCTCGGTAACTGTTTGATTGATTGTTCATGCACCATCTACTCATCCTATGAAACCGGATTTAAGGACGCTTGTATTTCTTCGAGCGTCCGTCCCCTGGTCTCCGGCACCAGCTTCGCCACGAACAGAACAGTCGAGCCACACACGGTAGCAAAAATGAAGAATGTTGCTGGAAGATGGTGTAACATGGGAAAGAAATGTCAAGATTTTGTACCTAAAATGATCATGTTGACAACATCAGATGCAATGAATCTCTCACCTGTTGAGCTCCATTTCATGAGGAAGTTAAATGCAAATGAAATAATCCAAGAGCCTAACCAGCTAACCAATGTCACAAGGCTCCCGGCTGAACCTTTCTTGTTTATGGGGAATATCTGAAATACTAACCTTCTTTTTTCAGTTCACATAACACTGAAGGCTGCAAATTAATCTAGATCAGGGTTAACTTACCTCGGACATTATAACCCAAGGTATTCCTCCCATGCCTAACGAGAACGATCCTGTGTACACCTACATCGAGTCTAACGTATCAACACGAAGACGATTCTGTTCATGAAAGCTACTGCCTAAAACATTGATTCATTGGATTTACCAGAACACCAACAAGTGATAAAACAGGAGTGGCTTCCTTCCATTGTTGAAGGTCCTGTATGCGGTCGAGCTTAATGTTTACAGGAAAAGAATATAGAACATGAAAAGCATTTTGAATTCGAGACCGATAAATCTCGTCGTACCTGCAAGAAAAATGATAATCCGACGAGGAAGCAACCCAAGCATGTTCCAGCTGCAGATACCTGTAGATATAAGTAGATTTTAGCAGGGACATTTCCACGATGTAACATACATAGAAGATAAATTTCAAGGATTTTGTACAAGTAAAAGCGGTCTTCGACCGGATTTATCAAGCAATACTACTCCCAAAGCTGTCATAGGAACCTGCAGAAGATTATTCCAGTCATTAAGAAAGGCATATTAATCAAAATGATATGAACTCTGATGATGGTGCAAGTCATCATGATGAGCTGACCTGAACAACAGCCATTGCTATCATTCCGACGCTACCGGAAAATCCTGTCGCAAAGAATTTAAGATAAAAAGATTATCCAGTTTGAACTTCCTATACAGTTCTTCTATTGTTTCATAAACATAAAAAAGTTCTTAACATACTAGCATAAAATGCAATGCCATTGACTCCTCCGAATTGTTGCAGAACCATTAGGCCAACTCCAACCTTAACCAGTTTAGTTATACATTAAAAGAACAACTCATAGCAAAGGTCAATTATATGCATAGGATTAACGAATTCGTACGGTGAGCGACCAAGCATATTCCTTCTGGAACAAGTCAAACACGCTAGATTTCGAATGCTGTTGAAGTTGTTCTGTATAATCCTGCAAAACAAAATACAATAAAAAGTATAAACCTTTATTATTCTGGCACATGCCGTACAAATCCAAGGGACAGAAACCGAAGCTTGCTTGCACCCCAAGCTAATAACCTACTTTAATCTCATTTGCTTCATCAGAAATATCAGCATTGTTTCCCCTTAGGAACTGCAGGGAAGCTTCACACTCTATCCATATACCTATCTTTGCCTGCAAAGATTTGCGTTCACTAATTCAATGCATTTATCGATGCTTGAATTTCCTTTGAGGCATAATTTCGGAAGAAATCTGATTATTTAGTAGCATGAACCACATGTTTATGAATTTTTGTATAAACTACTGCCTTAAAGTTACCTGCCATCTAGGCGACTCGGGGATGAAGAATAGACCCAAAAGCTGCATAAGGCATGGTATAGTTCCTGAAATCATGTCATATAGGGGAGAAACTGTTAGAGAATCCTTTGAAGTTCAATGTAGCACCATAAAATCCGACACTTACCGATTAGAGCCAAAGTCCGCCATGTGGCAAAAGCGCCTATGAGGTAAGTTAACGACACACCACAACAGATCATCAGCTGCAGAATTGATGGTCACCAGGAACATAAGCAAAACAATATTTTGAACTCCATCAATGGTGCTTAGCATTTACCTGATGGACTGATGTAAATCCCCCTCGAATATCCTTCGGTGTAACTTCAGCAATATACACTGGAACCTATAGAGGATAAGATTAGATAGTTTTTCTTCAAACATATGAATTGTTAGTTGAGTACGACCGCAATATGTTCATAGCTTACCACATAGGAAAGGAGTCCCATCCCACATCCTACCAGCAGTTATCCAAAGTCGAGCCAAAATGCAGCCTTTTCACATGCAGTTCATATGAATTGAAGCCATATAAGGTACTAGAATGTTGTTTTTTCTTAGAAGAATGAAGGCAAGAGTGTAATCAAGTTAAGCAGGAAAACACCTTGGAGAATAGTATACCAAGCCATCCTACAATGCAGAATATCTCCGCAAAACCCATCGTCTGCATCAAACGTCAATCAACGGTGAAGAAAGTCCAAGACATGAAAAGCTGTTTTGAATTAAAATCTTACACATTTTCGACCAATGTAATCTGCTATTCTCCCACTCATTACTGCACCTATCATTGCTCCAATCGTCAATATCGAACCGAAAAGAGAATACTGCAATGATCAAAGCAGGAAAAATGCTGAAACTGATATATGTTATCCAGTTTCATTCTAAAGAATATGAATACCATGCTAGATATGCCAGCTTTTGAGCATTTCATGCCATGGATACAATTTTACCTAACATTACCCTGCAGCTCAGTAACAAAGTTGGTATAAAGGCATTTGAAATAAAATTTTAAGGTAAAAAATATTGTACAAACACTTTACCTCAGCCACAGAGAGGCCCAAATCAGTTATGATTCCAGTCTGAGCAGGTGATGAATATCCAATCTGGTAAATCAATCATATTGGTTCATCTTTTGTGTGACAAATGACACGGTATTGTTACCATCAGGCGAATCAGAATAGAGAAGGGGAACCCCTTTAGTTTGCAGATTAAGATCATAAGTAAAACTAATCATTTCATTATTGAAATTTGAAAATAACATACTTACAGCAGTCCCAAAAACATAAGATCCACAAACGGCAACAAAGGTGCTAAGAACAACCATAGTTGTTGCAGAAGTAGTAGTTCTAATCCCACCTTGTTCTTCACCAGAACTTCCATGTCCACCTCCATCCCCAGGATTCTCTTTAACTATCAAAGAACTTGAAAGTTCACCATCTTCGAATTTTTCTCTATTCATCTCTCAAAAGTTCAAGCGAGAGCACTGTAGCCAATAATTAAACAACAGAGGAAAGCAGTGAGATTGAAGAACAAAAGGACAAGAAATTAATCTTTCAGTTGGAAGAAATGGTAAGAGTTATCCTTTGGGTCTGAGGGGTCCCCACATGAAATTTGATATTTGTTGGAATGTTTGAATATTTCATACATCTTCACACATTCACACATGCAGCTGTTTGTATTAATATGGGAAATACAAATGAACTCAACTTCCAATTAGTTTTTTTTTTTTTGGATTTGAATGTCTCAATATCATACAAGTGTGCAGTTTTCAATTTAATCCAAAATTTACCTTGAAGTTTGCAAAATTTCCACTTTAATCCCAAATTCAAGGTTTTAACACACAGTTTCCTTCGTCGAGAAACTTCAGATCTTTGCAATTATCCAAAGATTGTGGTAGTGACACTTTTTCATCAAATGTAATGGAATATATAATACACATACGCTACAAAAAAAAATTCATAACCAACCAGATAGGATTTAATGTCAAATTATACACTTTTTTCATGTACCAAATCCTAATAGTTTAAAGTATAAAATGTACACATTTTTAGTCGGTAAAACCATAATAAGTCATGGGGTTAATTTATTGAAGACGGTATATATAAAACTCCTATAGAAAATGGCCTGCCTACCACCATACAATGAAGTTTTCCGCTCTGTTCACAGCTTGTTTTGCAACAAAATTCCCTCAAGGAGTTGGCTTCTCTACCATTTTGCAAATTTTTGTTGAACTCTCGCATAAATCCTGATGAACCACCATGGTTTTTCAGTTCTGAATACGATGTATCCCATGCTCAGTCCCAACACCAACCCACATCCATACCCCAGCAATATTGAAAATTTCCAATTCAATCCATCATCATCATCTCCATCAAATCTGGCTGGATTGACTTCATTATCACAACTTCTTGATAATGGGAACCAACATAAACCCGAGTTTCCTACGTAGGAGTCATGAATGAATCCTTTAAGATCATTATGAGAAAGGTTTAACACCTCTAAGAATCCAAGATTTATTAGCTCTATTGGAATTCTTCCATAGAGCTCGTTTGATGAGAGATCTAATGATTCAAGCTCCGATAAATTACCTAATGATGACGGGATAGGACCCGTGAAACAGTTATGAGAGAGGTTTAAAACAATAAGTGAATGAAGCTCACCAAGTGTTTTAGGAATTTCTCCGCAAAACTGGTTGCTCGAAAAGTCGATTGCCTTCCAACTAGTTAATAAGTACTGAAACTCTCTTTCCAAACCTTTTGTTGTGAAAGATAAACCTTGAGCATACCACACCACTCCATCAAGTGATGGAAATATCATGTACAATGATTCATCTTTCTTTTCATGCCCTTCTCTAATGGCATGCAGACTTTCAATAATATTCGTAGGTATATAGCCACTGAAGTTATTACCAGAAAGATCAATGACACGTAAACCAGTGAAGAAAATTGTAACATCAGAGCTATCCACCTTACCATAAAATCTATTTGAGCTCAAGTTAAGGACTTGTAGCCGATCCAAATTTCCTAACCAATTTGGGAAAGTATCATATAGATCATTGTTTCCCACATCAAGAAGCATCAGGTCTTTGCAATTACTCAAAGATCGTGGCAGTGACCCTTCTACTTGGTTGTTGTTGATTCGAAGACTTTGTAACGTACAACCTTTGCTAAAATTCTCTGGTATTTCGCCATGGAAATTGTTCTTCTCTAGGTCAATGTGCGAAAGAGAATAACTCATGTTTCCAATGCAATCAGGAATCATTCCGTTCAAACTATTTCTGCTTAAACCGAGACACGTAAGGGAACTCAAATTGCATACTGAGTAGGGATGGCAAACGGGCGGGTCGGGTGCGGATACCCCCTCCCCCATCCCCATACCCACCTAATATTTTTCAATCCACCACCCGTCCACCACCCATGATGGGTAAAAAATTTTAAACCCACACCCGCCCACGCGGGTACATTCTCAAATCCATCCCCACATCCACTACCCACTAGCGACGTACCCGTCTAGATCCGCCGGAAAACAAACTTTTTTTTACGGAAGAGGTTTCGGGTTTTGACTTTTATGAAAAGCAATGATATGTAAAGATGAATTTATATTTACAGTCATTCCAACCAGAGTCATAAATTTGATGAAATTACTAATATCTTCATCAATTTCACAGGTGCGGTCAATAAAATACATTCGTGCTATGCTTGAGACCCTCTGGAAATCTTTTCAGCTTTGAGTGTATATAATGGTTCATACTCAACGAAGAGGTTTGACAGGTAAAATTCTAGAATAAGTTTATCTACACCAAACATATGATATCTTGCTAATTCACAATTCACAATTCCAGAATAAGTTTTGACAGGTACAATCAACTCATTGATATCAAATACTTCTTGTGGCACAAACAATATTCCCAATAACAATATTTAGTTAAATTACATGTTATATCTTATACAATATTATAATTTATAAATTAGTCTCTAAAATTATACCTAAATTCATAATGGTCCAAAATTTAATGGATATTTAGCTAAACGAGCGGATGCGGGGCGGACGGATGCGAGGCGGGTAATGACTCAAACCCATTACCCGCCCACTACCCGCGACGGGTATCACTTTCTAAATCCACACCCGCCCACTACCCGCTAAAATTATACCCATCCCCGCCCCAATTAGAGCGGGTGCGGTGCGAAATCCACGAAACTGTACCCGTTTGCCATCCCTAATACTGAGGAAGGAATTTGACCTTGCAGCAAATTTGGAATAGAGTTAGAATAAGGAGTTTGTATAGTATTGAAGGTAAATTACAAATTTGGTAATTGAAATGTACTCTCTCTCCTATTTCACTAAACTTAATCATTGGGTTTTTTTTTCCTGTCACTTAGCCATTGAATAGTTAACAATGTTAAAATGGGTTGTTATATAGATGCAAAACGACGTCGTTTTAAGAAAAAATTTGTTTTTCTAAAATGACATCGTTTTTAACGTTGTTAACTAGTTAACGGTGGAGTGACAAAAAATAGGAGAGAGAGTAAAGTTCAATGACTAAAAAATCAATGTATTAAGTTTAGGGAGAAAATTGAAAACTTTTAGAATTAAGTGAGCAAAATAGGAGAGAAAGTAAAGTTTAATAATGAAATTTGTAATTTACCCTAATCATTAATACAAAAACATGCATGACGCCAGTAGACAAGATGTATTAATTTACTCTCAGTAGGGTATATGATATATAAAACATATACCATCTATTGACTGATTGATAGTGGTGTATCTAAATCTAGTTTGTCCATATTAAAATTTTAATTTTTTTCATCGATTATTTACTTATTTTATTGATTATGTTTATTATGAAATTTTATTCATGTTTTATCACATACTAAAATTTTATGTTGTTAATATATATGTGTATACTCTAAAAATCATTTCTGAGTATGTCATTATCTATTGATATAATTTTTGTTGAGGAATTTACTTGGACACCACATGACATTAATAAAAAAAACAAATTTTGGACAGAAAATTTACCAAAGGAATATATAAACCTTATAATTAGAACAAAGAAAATTCAGTTGACTCATTTCGAATTGAAAAAAATAAAATATTTTGAATTTAAATAATTTTGGAAATGATTTATTTGAGTTTTATATTTAGGTTATTTATGTTTGGACCCAAAAGGACACACCAGAATGTAGAAACAAAGAACCGTAGAACTAATTAATGATATATAATAAAGTAAAAACAAGAAAGAAAAAAAATGATATTATACCTGTTAAGTTGTAATGGTAAAGATTAAGAAGCTCGAGAGAAATCATATTTCCTACAACCTATGGAATATTACCTGAAAGATATAAATAGATCCCATAAAATAGGTGAGATAACAACGGTGAAGTTGTTAAAACAGGTCGTTAATCGAAAAATTATTAGATGGTCATGGCTCACCTCGTCATCTGTGGCCTCAATCGATAATAATTTTCCATCTCATTTTTTTCCAAGGTGAATCTTCACCTCTTTCTTACGTGTAAATAAAGAGTGGAATAAAATAATTTGATTCTCATTGAAACAAACTCTTTGGAATTCTACCGGGAATTTGATTCTCATTTAAGTCGAGTACTTCCAATTTAGAAATGTTGTCAAATATTTCGGATGGTAGATGACCTGCAACAAAATTATTTAGTGATCAAAATAGAATTATGAGAATAGTTGAGTGATTCAATACGTAGTTTATCCTTTTTTCTAATAAGAGCATATTTGAAGATTTTTTTTATTATTATTCTAGGGTGCTCAAACATGAGATCTATAGATAACAATCATCCTTTAATCATTGAATTCGTTTGGTCATATAAGATATTCAAGATAAATAAATATATGAAACCTAAAAGGTAATTGTGTTCCAAATATAATCATATCAAGTTTAAAAGATTTTCATTTGTTATAGGAATCTGACCTTTGAGATTGTTTGTGTTCAAGCACAACACTTCTAATTCTGACAGATTGCTCAGATTAGTTGGGATAACACCAGTGAAGTTGTTCATGTGCAAATACAAGCTTCGAAGCTTAGCCAAATAACCAAGCCACGATGGGATTTCTCCGGCAAAGCTGTTGTCTCCAAAATTCAAATGCTCCAACCGATGCAAATTAGTCAACTCAAGGGGTAAAGCACTATGAAAACCATTGTGACGGAAGTCGAGCGAGGCAAGGAAAAGTAAGTTTCCCAACTGAGATGGGATGGTGCCAGTGAGATTCATACTTGAAAGATTCAGAGCAGTGACTCTGTGGTGTCTGTATCCACAGAGTCAGACACCACAGAGTCACTGCTCTGAATTTTTCAATTGCAAATAGAGGTACAAGTGGATCAGGTAGTTGCTATGAGGTTGTGTGGATCATGAGTTATATGAGATTTTAAGGACGAGAGGGCGGATTGATCAGTGGTGATGTTTGGTGAATTCGAAGATAAAGTAGCCCTAAAGGTTGCAAACAGCAGCAGAAACATAAGAGGTGGGAGGAAGCCAGTTTTTGCCATGTGGTTGGGTGTGGGTATAATGCAAATCATAAGGAACAACAAAATAGTTCAATGCCTCTCTATTCTTAGTTCAAAGTCTTTAAATAATTTGGATCTGTGCAGTGTATCCTTCGAGTCAAACTTTGAATAAGAATAGGGCACCAACCACAACACATGGCACAAAAGGAAAGGCTGAAGTCTCAAGCTGAAGAATAGCACTAATAATTCAGGCCCCGACTGAAATGGTCAGGACACCCACTGAAGACTCGAGAAAAGTCCAACCCTTTTACTAGTAAAAGCCGAGTTATTTTCCTTGACAAAGAGATAAGTGACCAAGGGCAAAGACAAACATACATTGTTCACACATTTTTTCCTCATATATCGTTTTGTGGTGGGATCAAAGTTGAAATATCATATTGTGGATAAAGACAATTAAATTGAAAGTATTATCTTTATATGTTCAAGTTATAAATAGTTTAATATTGATTAAATAATGTCTCAGGTTCGAGTCATTGTGTATGCAGAAAATTCCCGCTGGAAGACTCGCCTACTAAAACTAAGTGTGCGACCCGAGTCGATTCAGGTTAAGTTAAAACGAAACCTTAGAATTAGATAAAAACCAAAAATATATATTATTTCTACCATAATTAGTTATAATATTCTATTCAAATTAATCAATTAATAAAATAAATATTTATGATTATAAATTAAATAATTTTTATTTTATATTGTTATCAGTCCTATATCACATTTAATAAAAAGATTTTTCTCAATAAAATACTAATTAAATTTGAAGTCCATTTTTTAGATAATCGTGTATATATATGCAAAGCCAATATATATATAATTACTATGACCGGCACCGAGGTCCAGGTCAAGAGTAAACATTAAGGGTGCGTTTGGTTTACGGAATGTAAGATTATCAGTGGGAATAAAAGATTACCAGATAATAAGATTACTGAGAATGTTGTATTTTGTGTTTGGTTGGTTTAGCATGAATGTAAGATTATCGTGTTTGGTTAAAATAATAAAAGATTATTGGAATGTTTATTTTTTTTTTTGTAAGATGAGTACTTTGTATTAATAAAAATACAAGGTACATCACCCCATGGACCTCATTAAAAAAACCTCCCTAAACCTATTTGGAGAAAAAAGAGTGAACCATGAGGTGAAAAGAACAGGAAGCCAGGGACAAGCTCCTGGGAAAGCAAACACTGCCTAAGAAACATGCTACTACAAAGACACATCAAATCTGCTGCTATACACACAGCTGTAAACAGAGATGGGAACCAACGGAAAAGACCACAAGGGGAATAGCAACAAAACAACTAAGCACAACCTTCCAACGGAGAAGCAACCAAGCAGATTTTCACCAATGACCGCTGAAACAAAGAGCGACCTCAAACTTCGAACTAAAACCTAAAAATCAAAGGGACTGTACAGGCCACGAAAAGAAAGACCAAAGCTCCAAAATGTTATCCCAAACATCTCCAGAACGAAACCAACAATCGATCGAAACCCTTAGCCAATCAAACAAAACTAAGAAAATCTCCAAGATCGCAAGCATTAGCTAAAATAATCCCAACAAAATTCTAAATAACATCAACGCGAGACTAACGACAAGAACTTCTAAAGAACCATCATTTCAGGACTACCAACCATAAGGCCGAGTTGCCTATCTACAGACAATGCTTCCTGTGCTTCAATAAAAGCTTCAACCCACCTTTGCTTTAAAACAGAATCAGAAATAGATGTGCCTGATAAATCA